TTGGTCGTACAGAAGAATTTGACCAACATTTAGCATGTTTGCATAGCATTGTATGTACTACACTATGATTTATCATTTAACTTTGACATCATGCACTTGCATGTTTATATTATATGTGGCCGTTACAATTTTGGTATTAAATATTCTTCCAATCTTTCAGGAGTTGTATCTTTTAAATTACATGTGGTGTTTGATGTTTTTTTTTTGTACCTGCAAAAGTGCAAAGTCTTGGAATTACTTGGAACTGTGGTTGCATTGGTTGACTGATTGCTTTACTCATGCTAGAGAAAATATCACATTCTTCAATGTTTTTTTTTTCCAGACGCATCCGACACAGTCCTGCTTCCTTTCTTCCATTGACCTCCACAATCATTATTCTTATCAGGTAATGCTGGCAGACTGGATCTCATAATATGTTTCTGCTTATTTGATGGCACAGTTCTCTGGTTATTACTGCAACCAGTCCCTCAGCCATTGATCTTATTTGATTCATAACTATTCTTTTTATTGTTTAAATTTGGAAAAACTTACTGGATTCTAGCTATTGTGAAGATGTTCTCCAATACTAATACATGTTCTTAGTGCGCTTTCATAGTTCCAGATTTGAATGATCCAATGGAGTAGCTCAATGAGATTTGGTTCTTCTACTATTCTTCAATAGAATAAGCTCAATGATTGGTCACACTAGGTTTAATTATGTTTAATCCTCTTCTGGAATACTAATCCATACCCAAAGATTAGATTTGGCAAAGTGTTTTCTAGTAATTAAATTTTTGGTATCCGCTTGTTATGTGTGCAATAGTTTAGTGTGCCCCCCCAAAAAAAAAAAGAAGTTCATCCTGCTAATTTGCTTAATATCTACTGGCTATGTTACACGGATACGTGAGGTTGACCACGTATCTTGTACTGGATACGGATACGCACTGGATACGCGGCGGATACGTATCCATGAAGTATCGGCAAAAAAATAAATAAAACAAAATTCCTATACGTGGACTGATACGTATCCAATCCGTTTGGGCGTTTGGCGATACGGCCTATCCCACACGCACTGAGTGGGCTGCTCGCCAGCCACGCGCTGGGCAAGCTCCGCGCTGCATTAGCGCCGGGCAGGCTGCCCGCTGGCCACGCGCCGCACTGCACCCCGCGCTGGGCGAGCTCCGCGCCGTCGAGATCCACGAGCTGCATTTGCGCTGGGTGGGCCACCCGCTGGCCATGCGTGTGGGGTGGAGTGGGGCGCAGCCATGGTTGCTCGGCTGCCTGCGTTGAGAGGGACCTCGGTCACCGGCATGGGAGGAGGAAGGCATGGCGCCGGTGGAGGAGGAACTGCGAGGAGCAGGCCCCCAGGAGTGCAGCCGCGCAGACGGCTGAATGAAGAGGCACCGTGTGGGGAAGAATGTTGGGGAGAGAAAGAAGATTAAAAAATCTAATCTTGGGCCCAGCTAAGTAGACGTGCACGTGCAAATTTACATGCCAAAAATACCCCTCCAACTGCCAGCACAGGTAGAAGTAGCAACTAGAAGTTGTGAAATGATTGGAGTAGTCTCCAGAGGGCATCCATACATACCGATCGACTACCAATAATTTTCTTGTCCCTTATTAAAAAAATAATAAAACGTATCCACGTATCGGGTTTTTTCAAAAAATGGCGTATCCGCGTATCTGTATCCGTCCGATACCGATACACGTATCCGTATCCGTGCTGCATAGTCTACTGGTCTATCAATTGAAAATACTTAATGTTTTACTTTGATTATGTGGTTTGCCTTTTCTTTTTGCTGATAGGTCATGCTACCTGAAGCAATTGCAATAGTTATGGCACCTACTGACACAACAAGGTTATCCATCTATGCTGTTGATATCCATTATTTGCATTTTTTTTTCAACACTTCTGTTGATATATGATACTGTACATCATTTCCTGATACTTAATTTCATGGGTGCCAAATTATTCAATGTTTCATCTATTTTCCAATGTTTACCAATGTTCCAAAATAACTTGGTTAGTAAGGAACATATAGTTTCAGGAAGTGTGACTAGCTTAACTCGTTCAGGTGGGAGGTGTGGTAGTGCATCTCAACCACCTAGGTTTGAGTCCTCTTCGACTCGAATTTGTGCACCTTTTCCTTAATGAAAAGAGCCTAGTTCCAGTGTTCCACTAGATTGGGTCTCATTTGGTTTGAGGAATGTATAGGGCATGTTCGGCTGGCTTAAAGCCAGCCGGCTGGCTTGTTCCGCCACTCACGAAATCACTGTTCACGTCATGCCAGAACAGTATTTTTCTCTCACAACAATCAGCCGGAACAGTATTTTTCAGTCCTGCCGAACAGGCCCATAGTTTCTTTAGGTCATCATTGTCTTTGTAAGCTTTAAAATATAAATTATCTACGTTGTAAACCTGTTTGGTTGTGGTTATTGTTTTATCCATAGGTTTGGCAAATCTTCTCGTACCTGGAGTTAACTGGCTTTTGTGTTGTTTGGCAGCTTGCTAGTTTGTGTTACCCTTTCTGTAGTTTGTAAGCATCTTAGCATCAGAAGACATCTGACTGTGATCATGGTTATGTATTTGTTTGACCAGAAAACATGGTATATTTCATCTCACGGATCCAGGTGGTATGGGCGTGATCCATGATTGTCAAGAGAGAGGTTTCCATCCTCATAAGGCACCTCTTGATGGTTCGCCAATCTATGAGCAGTGCTCCCATGTGTACATGGACACCGATATAAAGTTTGATATGATTGATCTCCGAGAACGATGACGAAGCTCAACTTCTTTGGGTTTATTTTGGAGCCTATACTTCTCACAGTTAAATCTTATTGCTGCCTTATTTTTTCTTAGTTGTGCTGAAGATTTGTGAATTCTTATATAAGCTGTTGTACATAGCTATTGCATTGTATAGAGAAAACAATTGAGTTAATGACACCATTGGTAATCTGCAAAGGCATTGATGCTTTGTTGTAATTCATTCCTTTAACCTCGCAAGGCATGTTTGTGTGGCAAGATGAGGATGTGGTGTCTAGATTTTATGCCATGCCAGTTGTACATCCTTGAATATGTGACTTAAAGAGCATCAAATATCACTGATTGTTAAAGCTCTAATATTTCTCAGACTTTAGGTTTCATTGTTTCTGCTCTGCAGGCTTTAAATGATTATATGGTGTTTTCTCGTTGTAGCTATGTTGTAGTGCCACCTGGAAGGAGGGCCTTGTTTGAGACAAATTGGGGACGCCAGTGTGGTTTGTTACGAATACTAAATCGCTGTTGAAAGTTTAGTGAACTGTAGACAAATGTTTCCTTTATTTCACTCGTGTGCAGAGAAACTTTGGTCAATGTATTGGAGTTAGGATCTGCTTACACAAAAAGTGAGTTAGATTCATGAGCAAGTTTTATTTACTAGACCAGATCTTATAAATTCTTCCATAAAACCGAACTGGATCGGCTATGCAGACGCTCTCAGTCTATGGTCTTGCTTCGATTATACGGAGTTATACACCACAATATATACCAAAGTTTGCGCCATTACTAAGGTATCGAAAATCACTCGGGGCTGTTCGGTTATCTCGGAATGAACACCTAGAACAATTCCCAGCTGGAACGATTTTCTAATTTGTATAACATTGATCAGCAGCAATAATTCTGGCCTCATTCCACACTAACTGAACAGGCCCTCAAGAGTTTGTTTCATCTCTGGTGCAAGCAAATTGTATTGGAATCCTGCCTCGATTTGAGATTAGTTGGGATAAACAATTATTGTTTCATTTTAGATAAAATTGCTACCCAGAGGACAATAACCAGAGCTGGAGTATCTCAGTTGGTTAGAGCGTGTGGCTGTTAAGCACTAGGTCAGAGGTTCATGCCCTTACCGTATTTTTGTCCTATTTGTTTTCCCTCTTTTTTGAAACAATTACACCTTTTTGTTTGTCCTGTCCTTTCTTTTTATCCATTTTGCTGTCTTTATTCTCCTTTTGTTTGTCCACTTTTAGCATGTTTCTAGTTTTTTTCTCCTTTCTATTACCCTGTCTTCTCTTTTAGCATTTCTTCTTTATTCTCTTTTTGTTTGTCCACTTTTAGCATGTTTCTAGTTTTTTTCTCCTTTCTATTATCCTGTCTTCTCTTTTAGCATTTCTTCCTATCATTTTTAAATAAATTTACAATTTATCCTTTTTTGTCGTATCTTTTCTCTTTCTGTTTGTCCTCTTTCTAGCATTTTTCCCTCTCCTCTTTTTCTTTTTCTAGTTTTCCCTCCTTTTTGTTCCGTTTTTCCCTTTTAGCATCTTTTTCCTCTTGTTTACTAAAATAAAATTTTGACTTATCCCTTTTTGTTTGTCCTATGTTTTTATTTTTAGTATTTTCTTTTTCTCTCTTTCCCTTTTTCATGTCCTCTTTTAGCATTTTCCCTCTATTTTTTTAATGTTTTCCCGTTATGTCTGTCCTGCTTTTTATTTTAGCATTTCAGTCTCTCTCCTTTTTAAGTAAATTTATAGTTTATCACTGTTTGTCTGTTCTCTTTTTAGCAGTTTCCCCCTTCTCTTTTTTTTTTTGCATTGTGGCCTTTTTTGTTTGTGCTATCTTTTCTTTTTAACATTTTTTGTTTGTCCTATGTGTTCCCCTTAGAATTTTCTCTCTATCTATTTTTCAAAACATAAATTCACAACTTTATTGAATCTATCAGTAGATATTATAGTTGCACATCTATACCTATTAATAAAAGGCAAAATTTCAGCCTCTTTTTTCGTCTGGGCCGTTTTTCGTCTGGTCCATTCTACTGCACAACTGTCCCACTCACGTTATTTTGGCCCAAACGCGCGGTGCATTGGCCCTCTCCCCGCACGGCTTGCTCGGCACGGCCCGCTCGCGGTGCGGCTCCCCTCTCCCTCGCGTGGATGACGACTGGCCTTCCAGGTCCTCTCCCTCCCGTACTCGCGTGGATGCTCTCCCGTTAAAAAAGAAAAAAAAAAGGCCGCGTCGCCGCCGCCGCCACTGGCCGCCGGACGCCGGGATGGAAGGGAAGGCCGCCGAGGCGCGTCGATGTCGCGGCTGCGCCCACGCGCGGGAGCCTAGGCGCGCTCGCCGCAGCCTGCTCGCCAACTCTGTGCTGCTCCGTCTCATCACCCTCGACCGCCGCTTCGACGACGTAAACGCCGCGGGCGGCGACCATGCCGCTACCACAAGCGATATCCTCAGCGCGCTGGGCTTCGGCTACGCAGACGCCAAGGCCGCCGAGGCTCAGGGACGTCGGGACGGACTCGGAGCGGGGCGGGAGCGGCGCACACGAACTGTTGCGGACCGGCGCGATTTTGTCCGAACGAGTCTTAATTGGAATTGGATTGGAAAAATCAAATCAAATCCAAGGTATGTTCGACCTCAAATCCAAGTTCGAAACGAGTTTCTCTGCTTTTTTTTTTTTTGCTTCTTATATATTGCAGATTTGGTTGGGATATCCTCACGAATTTCCTCGACGTGCAGGAGAAGTTCCTGATCCGCCGAGCAAAGTACAAACCTCACCTGATAAGGAGTCCTTTGACAAAGCCCTCACAAAGGAGGTATTTGCTGTTGCAGCTCGTGATTGTACGCAGACTTTCTTAGAAACGTTTGATAAATAAAGGATCTGAAGCCTGAAGGTACAGTTTCTGGAATGCCATCTATTAACTTCCTCATGGTATCTGTAGGCTAGAAGTATGACTTAGTGACTTACTAAAATTCAGAGTCCAAAACCATAACTTGAGCAGACCAGCTTTCAACAAGCAGTAAGTATTCTAAAAGAGCTACAATACAATGACATATCTTCTGTATAAAGCTACATTGTATAAGGAAAAACTTGCAGGTTCTCAACTCAAATACTCAATTCAGTTGTGATGCTGACTCAATGCCAAGGATGTGGACAGGAAAGGAGGACATAAAAGCAATTACTAAAACTGCATGTTCAGCTATAGGTCAAATGTCAGTACTATATATTTGAAATATAAATGGATTATATTGTAGTAGCTGAAAATTATTCTCTATTTTACTACAGTCAATGAAGTTGCTTGCTACACTGGCTGCAATTCGGTTGGATGAGGCTGTTGGCAATCATTTGATCCACGTGCCTCCAGTTCGTGGAAGAAGGTAAGGAATATGCCACATTATGCTCTTCTGCTGAAGTCTTGAAGTAAAACTCTAGCTCTTACTCAGGCTGTGTTTGGTTCATTGGTGCTTCTGCTTCCAAAAAGCAGAATGCCAACCAAATTGGTGGTTAATATATTTTAGTACAAAGTAGGTGTTCTAGGTGCTGCTAACATGATGTCATTAATGTGCAGGTTCCTGAGGAGAAAACTTTAATTAGCCCTGTCCAGTGCAAATCTTTGTGGAGGCAATTTAAAACTGAAACAAAATATACAGTCACTCAGGCCATAGCTGCTCAGGCATCCCACAAGATCCATTTCTACAAGTGCTCATTGTGATTGTGAGCGACAAAAAAAATGTAGCATCTATCATCTCAAATTCATTTATTTTGCGTATTATTCTCTAGAAGTATTGACTGGCATCTCAACTTTAGTATTAACGTGTGGTGGAACCATCCAAATTATATGGCTCACGTGCACATGTCATTGTCCTAAAGACCTCTGACTGCTGCACACGAGTGCCAGATAATCTCGGTAGCATGTCGGGTGTCCTCAGAGGACCCCGAATCATCCACATTTTACAACTCATAGAGGATCAACATGGAGTTACCATAACATTACAACATTTGATACAGAAAATAACTTACATCGGAGTGTAGAAGACTTATAATATTTGTTTACAAAACATGTTCAAGTTAAAACTTAACTTGAGTTCAAATGGTCAGTAGAACTACAGAAGCAACTTAGGTGAAGCATCTAAGGTAGACGAGACGACCAAATCATGTCGAGCCCACCATCATGATCGTGTTTATCAGCACCAGTCAGATCCTGCAACGGGGGTTAACAAACCATGAGTACTTGAGGGTACTCAATAAGTCTTATCCGACTAAAAGAAAAGACTCCAAGGGTATGCATGCTTAAAGGAAAGTTTGAAGCAAGAGTAGCTTTTGCACAAAAGCTTACTATAAGTGAATCCTTACTTTTAATGTGTTAGATTGGCGTTAAGTTATCAGTAGTATCCAGTTTGCACCTGATCTAAATCAATCATTTCATTAAGCATCTCATCTCATCTCATGTTCATAACCATAAGTAACCATGTTTCCATCGATTAACTACGATGTATGGTTAGAGGGTTGAGTCTCTATAACCGAGGAGCACGACGATTTGAATCGATTTGGCCCAGCTGGGGCTATATCAACATTCACTCGCATCCTCCAAAACGTGAACGGGTCTAGCGCTACCTGAGAGCATAGTACTCCACCTTCCTGTGTCGTTCGTCCATGACAGATTCACATGATGTGTACATGCTACTCTCACCATCTCTCCACTCCCAGTGCGAGCTTGTCCTTTCTCATAATGGAATAGCCGAGGTATCAGGTTTACCGGAGTATGTGGCCAGTACTACAAGGTCTCGACCACACGGTGGCCTACAACGAACGGTCCTCAATCGACACAGACGTGACAAACACGACCAGGCAACCCTGTTGGCTTAACCACCAGATACATAACCCATGTCCCGTTCGGTCTCAATTTAAACATTAACCTTATCATAGAATTATCACAACCCATAAGCAGAGCCGAGAAGAGCAAGGTAAACATGTTACTCTCGAATGATGAAACCATCCTTCGACTTCTATCGAAGTCTAAGCTTTACTAAGCATCAGGGAAAACGACCTACGCATACTAGCAGGGTATGACTAAGGATACCTGAATATCAAGGTAATCATGCAACAATGGTATTCGACCAACTCCTAATTACTTAATGCACATCTCACAAGACTTAAGGTGTAACAAAGATTTGTAAATACTAGAGAAGGGTGGTATGCACTGGGCTTGCCTGCATTGTAGAGAAAGTTAGTTTCCATAGAAAGATCCGGTAGATAAACTTGGCACCAACACCACTGGTGGATACACCTTCTACGAAACTTGATCAACACGAATCTTCTCACTCTCGTACACTACACGTAATAAATGATGCTTGCTTAACATGATGGACTACATGCCATGATGCATGATGAGAGCATTCAAGTGCATAACAGAAGATAGACAAAGTTAAGAAAGTTGAGTACAACTTTCCTTCACCAAAGAACTAGGGTTTTTAGCATAAAAGCATCTTAGTTAATTAGCTATTAAGTTAGTTGGTTGTGTATCATGAAAGGAACTACATTAACTTGAACTGGCAAGAGTATCTTAAGTCATGACCATTATAAGGAACTAATAATTAAGGCATATTAATTATTATATAAACAAGTTGATATGTGGTTATTAAGAAAGAAACACTTTTCGCATTACACTAGTCAACAAGGCAAGGTATAACTAACATTACACCAAGTTCAACTATATGAGCAAGCAAGGATCATTACATGACCTAATCACATGCATTCACTAATTAATCATTTGAGGAAATTATTTTATTTATTAACTAACAAATTATCATGAGCATAACATGAAAAAGATTAAGTTGCCTGGAACAGCAAAGGGATTAGTGTTCCAAGGTCTACAGTCAAGGTATAAAACACACCAAATTATTTTATGATTTATCTTAATTATTTTGGTAATTAAGTGGATAAATTAAAATTATTAAAACAGTACCATAATTTTTATGAAGGCAGGTCTAAGCATGTAAATCATACATAAAAAGTTTCATGATTAAAGGATAATTATTTTAGCCTACAAAGATCATGGAAGGTCCATTTATTAATTAAAAGATGTAATTTTTTAATCATACAAAAACTATTGATTTTCAACATTTCATATTTTTCCTACAAAGAGCATATCATAACAAGCTTACCCAAAAAGTTTCACTTTTTTATCATCATCCTAAATTTAGTTATGAATTAAACAAAGATCAGCACATTTAATTATTTTCTGAAAATCAAAACTGGCGAAAAACCTTTTCTCACTCACACCTAGCCAGCCACTGAGTCTGATAGGCGGGCCCCGAGTCAACCGCACAGGACTCCCGCGCTTGATCGTGGCTCCCGGCCGTTGACCGACGATTCCTCGCCGACGGTGACCTGGCTGGCGGCAAGATCAACTCCGGCGAACACCTCTCTCTCGCGCAACCCCCGGTGGTACTAATGGATCCTCTAGCGTACTGCAACACACGTGGCGGCGCACATGGCGGCCGGCGGCGCTCCGGCGAGGCGAAGGTGACCGACTGCGACGACTCCGGCGATGACGAGACCACCTACAGGCTTAGCGCAACCACGCGAACAAGTCTACGGAGCTAAGTGACCAGATTAGGGCTTTGTGCGCACACAACCATAGCCATTGCGGCTCGACGGGGCAGAGCATGCTGGCGCGATGGTGGGCCGGCCGCTCCGGTGCGGTAGAGGTAAAACAAAGGGCACGGTCAGCTTCAGGGTCTCACCGTGATCACGTTTGGCTTGGTGGTTGAAGCGGAGGTGGTGCGGACGCGGCTACCGGCGGTGAGGACGAGCGCGGTGGCGTGAGCTGGACGACGAGCTTGCGTTCTGGCACGTCCCGAGGACAAAAGGGAAACCCGACGAGCCGATAAGCATTACGTGGTCAAGATGAAGCTAAAACAGGGATTGGGAGGAAGAGAGCTGCAGCGAAACACGCTGGCCACAGTGAGGTGGTCCTCGGCGGTGATGGCATGCCGCCACGGTGGGAACCTGGCCCGTGGCCGATTCTAGCAAGGAGAGGGGGCGCGAGCGGGTCGGCGAGAAGCGCAAGGAGCAGCGGCGATCAATTTGCGACGGCAATAGGAGCTCGGCCGGCGGCGGGAAGAAGGAAAGAAGAAGATGGCGACCGGCCTTGGGCTATAAACGACACAACGAAGCTGCGAGAGGCGCCAGCAGCTGCTTGCGCTGCCACCGCGAAGCTGCTGCGTGGCCGTGCGTGAAGGAACGGCGCGAGGGCGGCGGGCGGTCGGCGGCAAGCAGGTGAAATAGGAGAAGCAGGCTGCTGCTGGTGCACTGTTCACGACTCAAACCTCTCCCTTCCCCTTTCTTGTTCTCTCGATTTTGCAAAACGAGTCACTAATCGACTTTAAGAAAAGTTGTTCCCTGATCAAAGGTCTCCAACATTGCTTAAAGGGTCAGCACTTGAAACTCATTGGTTTAAAAGATTTTTGGTTTTGAAATCATGCACTTTAAACTGTAACTGAAATCATATTCAGAGATTCAGAAACAGATTTAATTAAGCATCTTTGAGAAATTAATTAATGGATATTTACTAATCAATCTACACAAACAAAGGTATTACTTCCAAGTATAAAGTTCACACTTTAAAATAGTACCAAGGTTGCACATAAGTTTATATATGAAAAACATTTTAATAAATTCCCATAGATTGAATTAAAACTAAAATCCAAAGACTTAGTAAAAAATTGGCTGTGTAGATTCCAATGCTTAATTCGCTTTTGGAGCTCAAATTAAAACATATTTCATATGCTATCAGTGCCCAACCTTGCCACTAGTGTAAAGTATAAACTTATTACTTCAAAGTTTATTAAAGCAAAATTTTAATTGTTTAAGCACATTCTCATATATAAAATCACAAATAACCTTAATCATTACATTGACATCATTTCATGCAACATGTGAAACACTGTATATGCAACATGTGAAAGCTATAAATGCAACATGAAATGCATTTATGACATGACACTTGATGCTTATGCTTGATGATGCCCATGATCATAATTTTAGTTGCTTTTAACATCTTGGATATTACACTCATCCCCCCTTAAAGAAATCTCTTCCCGAGATTGTGAAGTGAGAAAAGTCTGGTGTTGAGTAATGGAAAAGGAAATGTGTCAAGCACATTAACTTATAAGAAGTTCATAAAACAACATGGATCGATTCAAAGGTTACAACCAAGATCTGTGAAAGGTTGTAACTAACAAGGGATTTTAGGAAATTCAGGAGAAGCGCGAACATGAATTTCCAAAAGAGGTTCCAAGGAGAATGAAAGCACATTAATTGTGGGCTTATAATGGATCATGACCGCATACCTTGATTCTAGTGCGTGCCTAGCAGTAATTCCTTATGGTAGCGATCCACAAGAAAAACCCTAGGTTTTGACGCTGTACTGTGGTCATTGATCATGGTATCATCATAGGACAATTGTAGTAACTTTCAACCAACACATGTCGGCTATCAAAGTCAAGGGTATAGCATGTGTCAGGATAAAAGAAACCAATATACGACACATGTATAAGCTGAGAAGCCAAGGAGTAGTTCCAGGTTT